TGTCTACCACCTCTCTCTCTCTCTCCCCCTGTAACTCTTTCTCTCTCTCTCTCTCTCTCTCTCTCTCTCTCTCTCATCTCTGTCTCTCTGTCTCTTTCTCTCTGTCCTACCACCTCTCTCTCTTCTTCTCTCATTTCTCTCTCTCTCTCTCTTCTCTCTCTCTCTCTGTAACTCTCTCTCTCTCTCTCTCTCTCTCTCTTTTCTCATCTCCATCTCCCTCTCTGTCTCTCTCTCTGTTTTTCTCTCCTTCCTCTCTCTCCTCTCTTGCCTCTTTCTCTCTCTCTCTTTATGTAGCTGACCTCAACCTTTACAAAACCACATGATCTCCCATCCTTCTCTTTTTCTCTCTCTCTCTACTCTATATAAATATATAGTATATAATTTATCAGTGGAGCTTTCAAGAACGAATGTGTATCATCTCGTTCTCCACGTCTCGCTTGCGTACCTTGATTTATATTAGATATATAATAATAAATTATGATGTGATGGTGTGGTTCATCAGCCGTCCTCGACTCTCATAGCCAGACCTCTCGATCCGGCTCTGTTTCTCTAGCGTCTCTCCTTCCTTCTCAGTTCCCCCACCTCTCTGCTTTTTTCTGTCTCTCTTCCTTCGTGGCAGTCTATCAGTGATATATAATATAGTCCGTGGAATGCAGGTTGCTTTTTGTGTTTTCGTTCTCATGATGTGTCGTGCTTGGTCGCATCTCTCTATAAATATATATAGGATGTCGGGTGGCTGCTCGCGTCTACTCGTCTAGACCAGCCCCCTCTCGTCTGCGGTGTGTTGCTCTCCTCTCATCCTTCCTGTACGTCGGGCTTTGGGTCCGCCCGGGGCGCGTCCGTTCTATGTCGTCTGTGGAGTGTGTATTGTTGGGCGTGGTGCGAGTGTTCGCTGTCACTGTTGATATATTGGTTTCTGGTGATTGATTAGGTGTGTCATCTTTCTATCAAACAGCCTTCCTTCTCTCTCTCTGCATACGTTTGTTGCCACTCTCATGCATAACAGTCATACTCTCGTCTTTGCATCGATATTTCTCGTGGTTTCTCTACCACCCCCTTC